TGGAAATATTCATTATAAAGTTTCTAATAGGATGTTAAACGTTATCTGATTAATATGTTCTCGAAGATCTACATTATAATTCTTATAATGTAGATAATAATAATTATAATTCTTTTGCTGATTTGTCAATGATAGATAAAATGATAACCGATACACAATTCTATTAAGCGTGTAGATAATTTAATTTAAATAAATAGAAAAATGTGTATAGGTAAAATACTATATGTATATGGTTGATATATATATATATTTTTTTTTTATAAATTAAAGTGTAATCTGTTGACAGAATATATTGGTGCTTTTAAGATTGCTTGGTGTTATCATTAAAAGTATATATTAGTAAAGCAACTTGTCCCAATATAACTCACAATGCTTTAGTAAATATTTCACAATGAAATTTAGCTCTCGAATAACTTATAAAAATTTAGTCCCATTTCGATTGAGTGATTTATTAACAAATCACACTAATTTATATTCTATGCTTTTCTTGCATTTAATGTGCTTAGGTTATATTTTCATGTTATTTTAACGGCAAATCAAAAGAACAACTATCTCGTACATGTATTAAGTAATTCAAAAATATTTTTTTTTTTTTTTTTTTTTTTTTTTTTTTTTTTTACATACATACACTTTTACAATAAATCTTTGAGAAATGTCGTTGTTTCAGCCCCAATAAATCGACTCCACACATAAATAGCGTTGATAGATAATTTTTTATGGAGACATCGTAAATTTGATACCAGTCAAACTAAAGAAAAGCATTAAAAACCTCCACGTGTACCAAAAAGTGTACACACGTAAGCGAAATTCAGCGAAAACAATACGCCACAAGAAAATGCCACGGAATGCGCGGCAAGGGAGAAGAAAAAGGCTTTTAGCTCTAATGCGCCACTTGGCTGTGGTTCTGCGGTTTCAGATGTCAGCAAGAAACGCGGCTGAGTTTTATATTGATTTCGTTCAGTCGCTCCTTCACCGCTCGTTTCGTGCTTCCTCACACTTTTTGACTCTCCTTATATACGTCACTCTCTCTCTCTCTCTCTCTCTCTCTCTCTCTCTCTCTCTGTTTATTATGATGGAACTTTTATTTCTTACGTCTATTTGCTACATATTATTCTATGATTTTACATTATGGACTCATATTTTCACACAAGTCAAGAAAATATTAATATTCCTAATTGATAGGGATGAAAGGAAATTCGTTTTTATATTAATATTACTATCTTTTATTAAAATAATTAGATTTCACGATTATACCATTCAGTAATTAGGAGAATATTCAGTTTGCAATTTTAAAAAATATTTAATCGAAATTTATGGTTATTTATTTAGAAATTGGGCGTCAAATATTTGTCCATATTCGATAATTCTCACTTGTCAATAATTTGTGTTCTATGTAATTTAAATCTCTGAGTATATGAGACTTACGTTAAAGGTAGTAAATAATTATCTGATTTATTTATCTGATATAAAACTGTCATACATTTGTCGTAGGATTTTAAAATTTGTTAAATCACCCAATATACAACATCCAATATACCGTGATTATACGTAAATAAATATAAGAATATTTGTATATTTATTACCAAAACAATCCTTATACGTTTAATAAAGAAAATTTATGTTTTTTTTTTTTTTTTTTTTTTTAATATCAGGTAGAAACATGAAAAGTTATTTTAACTTAAATGTACTTGGCAAAATTTATACTTTTATTCCTGTTTTGTAAAATTTATGTTCACTTTTTGATTGTTTTTGATACAAATAATAAATTAGTTAAAAAAAATTTTCATTTATGCTTATAAATACAAATTTTAAAGCATACTAGAATTTTAAGAAAAAGTATTACTCCTTAAGCTATGGATAATCATTAAAGTATTGGTAATACGTATGATAAAATTGGTATAATATAGTTGAATTTAATTGTTGAAAATATATTTGATTGGTATAATAGTTGAAAATATACGAAAATAATATTTCACCCATAAGAGCTAATATTTTTAGTTTTTCAGGGAAACACTAATTCTTTAAAAAAGAAATTTTAAAATGACATAATTGAGCGTAATAACAACATACGTTACATACATAATGAATCGAATGTCTGATATATGAAAAACACGAAGATACTGCAACAGTTAATAATACTTGGTTATTATAAACAATTCATTTTTACGCTTATTTTACAAGTTCTTATTTTGCATAAAAGAGATACTCTTAAAAGGACAAAATAGAATTGCCGAATTATAGTTTAGTCGTTACCTTTCCTTTGTTTCCGTTATAAACACAAGCCCCAACGATCTTAGAATTGTGTCAAATGGAATTCTACTAGCGAAACTTTTGGGAAGAAAAATGTGGAAAGAGAAGAAAGCTTAAAACAATTACGACACTCCTCCAACATGCTGTTCGTGCAAATGACTTCTTTGCAATGTCTTTTCGATAATTTCAATTGAAATTTATTTTTACAATTATATAATACAAAATATTAATAAATTACAAAAATTCTTTTTATTATTCTAGTAGATTTTTATAAACTTGAATCTATTGGCATCGAGCTCACCATACACAAAATTTTGTTTATTACTTAAAATCTGTATAAAAGCGGGTATATACTGTGAAATATTATTAAATAATTCTTTTATAGCTAAAGTGTATTTCAACTTAATTAAAGACTATAAATTGTATAATTTATGATCCCATATTAAATAATCATTTATAATTTGAAAATATTTAAGTTATATCTCCATTTAATAGTTATAAGATCTATAATCTTCAATGATAAATATACGTTTAAATTTTTGTTACATTGTTAAAGCTAAATATTCGTTTTCTGTATTCTATGATGAAATTCGTTAAAAGCATAGCATCGGACCATTGATCTAAGAATATCAGCTTACGTTTCCCACATCACGTCACTTTCATTTTAAGATACAGAGAACTTATGCACTACTGTCATAATTTCAGTAATTTTGTGAAAAAGTTTTTAGAAATAATATGACAATATGAATATCAATATCAATCTACACATTTTATTATATTTCTTATTCTGTATTTCTCTAATAATTTTCATTTACATATTATGATTGCATATAAATAATATATTTTTACAAGCATAAATCATATGCGTTTGGTTAAATATTTATAGATATTTTAATTTTAATTGAAATCCATAAGATCAGATAAATTTATAAACATATAAACATATTAAAATAAATATATAAACATAAATATACAATAAACATATTCGCTTATAATAACAGTATAATGAATTTTTATATAGAATTTGTGAAACTATATGAATGTGAGATATTTTATATTTCAAACAAAATAATCTTAAGGATATAAATCAAATTTGTAAATATAAACGAAATGTAAGATATAAACATATAAAAAACAAATAGAAAAATTTAAAAGAACATCTTAATCATACATACCTTGTAAGTATATCATATAAAATTATTTCTTAAAAAAATGAAGAATGAAATTAAAAAAAAAATGAATTCATTCTCTTTCCATTATCATTTGATATTACATTATAGAAATAATTTAATATTACTGATTTCAAAACCAGCGATTCAAAATAAAATTCAATTAAAGTACTTGTATTACTTTCTTCCTTTTTTTTTTATTTAAGTATTTTAGCAGAGTACTGGCGGTGATAATTATCAAGTGGTCATTTGTTTTATGACAGAAATAACGAATCTCGATAAATAAAAGGGTTTAAAAAACGAGTCTGTCAATACTATCCTACATATTAGCTAAAATTACTATCTAACGAATATTTTCAATTTTTTTGTAAATACTTATATAAATTATTAAGCATAGTAAAGTTGAAATTATTTTCGAAAATTCCCTTTTTCATCAATAAAGAATGCGTAACCAAATGAGCGACAATCAAAATTATTTTAATTTTCCTGATCGTTACGAATGCTAATTATGCCTTTTAAAATTGTAGTTGTTCCATTATTAATAAATTTTCATTCTATAATTCATAAGTCAAGCAAAGCAAAATATTACATAACTCCAGTTATTAGTCAATAATTCTTAATCATTTCGTAAATTGATAAATTGAATAAATATAATGGGAATACATTCTGTTTCAAAAAAAAAAACACTCGGAATTCCTATACTAAATAGATGAACTATTTTCTAATGCATTTAAAAGATCTTTAAATATTGAAATATTACATGATTAAAATTAAAATCTAGATAAATATCGTATTAGATTTTAATTTATATCCTTTATTTAGATAAAAATCTGATTATCAATTTTGGATTGTAAGTATTTCGTGTAAGGGTATTAAAAAAAAAAAAAAAACATTAAAATTTTATTAAAAAGCAGATTAAATTTCTTCCGTTCAGCAGTTAAGTGGACGTCTTCAAAATTATTAAACATAAATTGCAATTAAGTTATACTTCTACTTTCTCTTTTTTCTTCACATATTTTATTTTAATTTTTTGTTTTTCTTTTAAGGCTTCTTCGCATCAGCAATGTTAAATATTTGAAAGAAAGATGTAAAATTAAAAGCATAAGTAAGCAAATTATACGCACATATATATATACATATATGTGATTTAATTCATGTATAATTATTGATATTTTTTAATTTTATTTATCTAACTTTTACATGGAAAATATCTTTAGAATTTTCATATTTTCTTACTGTAACATATGATGATAAAAAAATCAGACGGAATAGGCTAACTACATGAGTTTATACATTAAACTTTAGAATTTTTTATATTTTCGAATGAATAAAATCGCTTAATTATAAAAAATAAATTAGATATAGTGATGAAAATAGCAATAGAAAAATTAATTTGATTTTAATGGAAATATAAGTTCTCGTTATATATTATACTAAAAAATATATTAAAAAATTTAGTATTGCACATATTAAGAGCAAAATATAAAACATATAAATGTACAATAAACATTTGTCACTACCTTACTTGTAAATGAATGTCACCAATAAAGATAACAAATAAGAGTTAAAGATACAACTTACCGTGTAATTGAGCAAGTGACTGCAATGTCGCGTTGGTATTGCAGTTTATGAATCCTGAAACATAAAAGATTGTGAAATCAAAATTATGTTTTTGTATATACTATAGTAGCTTTAGAGCAAATGAAATATTTATTGGTATTTTAACGAAAATAATGTAATATATAGAAAAACGTATATATTCATTAATTTTCTAAGTCTTTTATCAATGCACCTTACATTTTATATTTTTACAATTTTTTCTAAAAGCGTGCATGTAGGTACAAAATAGTATTTTCTTGATATAATTTAACTCACCTAATTTTATTTGCATTTATTTTCAGTAACTCAATATTCAATAAAAATTATGAAATATTATATTTTACTTATTTATATAAAACTTATATAATTAATTTCCGAAAAACAATGTTCAACTTAAATATATACATATTCTTACACATTAAATGTGTACAATAATCAAAATCTATGGTACATAATTATTTTAAAATAACTATAATAAATTTATAATATAATAAATTTATAATTATAATAAATATAACTATAAGTTATATATATATATATATTTACATTTTTCTGTAGATCTGTGAATATATTATAATAAACTAGTAATCGTTGATTTTAACAATTTTTTTTATTAACATTCTGATTCACACACAGTTTTTTTTTACTGTATAATTTTATTTAAATATATGCATAAACATGTATATATATGCTTTTATTATAAATCTAATGTAATTATAGATAGATTTCTATATTTAATTATACAATAAATCTTAATTATTCAACTGTCCAAATAATATAATTTAAATATTTTCCTCTCTATTATATGTACATATTCAATAAAATCAAATTCATACCCTGAGTGACATTAAGAAGTTATTTGGAAATTTGTAAATATTCTCGCACGCTAGAATGAATATTCCCGAACAATAATATAAATGAGCATTCTAAAATATCGACAAGTGTCCATATTTATCTAAAGTATTGTTATATTTATCAGCTTAACGGCATTCGAGTAATATGAAAAAGCAAAAAAGAAAGAAAAAAAGATGTGGTAGTGACCACATGCTTAAATCACATACAGTAATTTTGATGAGAAGTACTCCAGCTTTGAAATTTATGCGCGTGAGTGCACATGAAATACATATAATTTATTGCTTATGTACCCGAATAACGAGAAAAAAGGACGAGTTGAGGTAAAAATTAAGATGCATCTCCTCACTTGTATAAGATGTTCGTAAATTCTCGTAAATTTGCATAATTCACGTAAGGTTCGCGAGTCTCTACAAAGATTTTACTCTGCTTCACTTTTAATTCGATTGCTTTACACACAAAAATGTTGCTAAATAAATTTACACTGAATTTAATTTTGTATTTCATGTTTTTTTTTTTTTTGTGTATTTTACATATACCACATGATCAAAAAAATGTTTTTAGAATTCATATAACATAATTTTTATATTGTAGAAAGTTCATTTTGATTATTTCTGTTAAAATTTTTATTTAAATATATATTTTAACTATATGTACATTATCAGCATTAATTTATTTAACATTAATTTGTATAAATATATGTTTGTAGAATATCAAAACCAACCGAAAAGTAAATTATTTTGAAGAAATTAACACGCTATAGTATAGATGTTTCAAATGTACTTAAGTAACAAAATTACGTGTATTAACCATGCAAAAGTCACGAGGTCGGTACTTTTCATCAGTTTGTACCAGTTTGACCAAATTGAGAAGTTATATCATGAGTCAGGGGAATGCCGGTACACCCGTTTCATCAGTAAATTTGTGGGTAGTGTACGTGCGGTGTGTGAGTTATACCATTTTTTTTTTATTTGCATGCACTAGTTAAGACTGATGCTCTAGTGACTTGCTCCAATTCTGAATTTGGATATGTAATCTACGAATACAAATGCAAATGTGCGTAGAATGTAAAGTGAAAGGTGTTTCATCTTTTTTATGATCCAAGAAGATTAATCGAAGAAAGCAATAATTTAATTAATCTTTTATATTTTATCAGTTAACGAATTGCATTCCATTTTATTTTATAATTAATATTATAATACTTTTACATTAAAATTATCTATTTAATTATAAAACAGTTGGTAAAGAAATGGCAACACATTAATCCTACCATTAATTTTGATTATTATATTTTTTTTGGTTACTTTAAAATATCAAAAATTTAACTGCCTTTTAGTATTGTACACTTCACTGCTTGTATTGTAGTATCTATGCAGGAATTATGAATATACATTTTAATAATAACTAATTAATAAAGAATAATTTCAATTAAGAATAATTTATATAAACTTAACAAATTTTAAATATTCAGTGAGTATAATTTAAATTTAAAATATGGTCTTTATATAGAATATTCCGTTTACGTAAAATACACAATATAATATATATATATATATATATATATATATATATATATAATAATAGATATATAATAGAAGAATCAATATAATATTTTACTTTCAATGAGAGTCATGAAATCAAAATCAAATCCTTCACTTAATGTACTCTTAAATTTGTTTGTGTCGCAATCATTTTTACATAGTTTTACTTAATTATCCTTCCATATAATTATTATAATTATATTAGAATTATAATTCATCCTAGGCAATTTCGTATTTCAAATTAAATCAATTTTCATAAAAGAATAATTATTTCAATATAAACGACATGCGCGCGCGTATATAAACACTAACGTATATACATAAAGAATTGCCTATAGCTTGTTTACAATAAGAATGTAATATACACGTACAATTGCTAATCAATACACTCGTAAAAACAGTATATTACAACTAAATTATCAAAATATATTTTATTAGAAACAAGTATTATACTTAATCTTCCTTTAAAGGATTCTATTAAAGATAAGGCTTATATTGTAATTTTGTTATTCGTTACAGTTATTAATGTCAATTAAATAAATTTGACTTAATTTTAAAGAATAATGTTATTTTAAAGAATATTTAATATAGATTAAATATTATTAATATATCATAAAAGTCATTAGATCAGCAAAAATGTATGCTTCCTTCGAATAATATAAAAAAAATTTAAAGGACTTATTATAAAAGACGGAAAAGAAAAGAGAAAAAAGGGGAGTCATCAAGTGGAACGTATGAGGCTCATGAAGCAAGTAGTTTCCTAAGACTCAACTAAACAGCAATGACTCACCTTTCTATACATTAGAAATAGATAAATAAAAAGAATGAAAAAAGAGTTAAAGAAGGAAACATTATCAATGAAACTTTATAAATATTTTAGCAATACTCTTAATTGTTAAAATATAAAATCAACAAAAGCCAACAAGCTAACTAGATCTACTAGTATTACTAGAATTAGTATATTATTATAAAAAATGATAATTAGTTTTAATCAACAAATTCTGTTTTACTTTTTGTTAATTCTCGTTCTATGTTGTATTATAAATTTAAAAATATAAAAATCAGTATATTTTAATCGTGTCGGCTTATATAAATGATAAAACTATATAAACTGCTAGTATTTAAAAATTACAGCAATAAATTTCAATTGCAAATGTAAAGAAAGTTTAGAAACTAATCAGAACATTTAAATTTTTAATCCACGTTTACCCTGTCATTATAAATAATACTAGTGAAACATATAATAATGTAATAATAAGAAAGTTTGTATGTCCATATTTATAGAAAAATTATAAAAAATGTAGAGAATTAAAAATAGATTTCGAGCTTCATTTATTACATTTCCAAATATCGATATTTATCTCTTTTTATGCAACTCAAGCAGGGAAAATGTTTGAAAATATTTTAAAAAATTGTAAAATCTTAAATGGAAATATGAATAAACTGTGAAGATATTAGATTCCATGTTTATCAATTGGATCAATTTTGATCTGAATTGCATAACTTATCTTTTAACAGATAATTTAATATAATATAATAATATAATATAATAATAATATAATATAATAAAATAATATAATAATATAATTTAATATAATATAATATAAAATTTAATAAATAATCTTTTATTTTTTTTTTCATAATAAAAACAAAAAATAATAAATAAATAAATAATAAATACAGATTCTATCCCTCAAGAAATATATTTATCAATCAAGAAATATAAAAGGCTTGCGTAATGTCAAAGTGAGAACGATTAATTGACTCGCTTGAAGAGTCTCTGAATTTGTTGCCAACATATAATAAACTTGGCATAACGTGATAAAACGTATAGCTTGTAATATAATGTTTTTAACTAACGTTAAAAAAGATGGTCAATGGTTTTTTCTTTTTCTTAATCTGTTTTTATCTACGGTATCGTAGGAAGTCAACGCAGAGAGAAAGCATTCTCTCAAAGAAATTCTCTCAATAACATCAGCCACCTTCTCTTAACTATTAAGAAGATTCCAGCTCTAACCGCAAAAAAATTAAATTGCTCGCAAGTTCCAAACCTCCTCCCCCCTTCCCCCTTCCCACCTCAAATTGCATTGTTTATAAATTATATGTAATTTTAACTACAATTTCTACTTTTTTTTCCTAAGATTTTTTTTCTACGGCGTATAAAAATAGAGCTATAGAGTTTATCAATATATTTAACAAAAGAAAAAAATTTCTATAAAAAATTCTCATTTATCAATGTAAAAGTCTAGGAGTTATCGACAAATTTTTAGTAAAGTAAACTTATAACTTGTACTGCTCATATTATCGCAAAAGATAATAAAAATTCTAATTAAGCTTTTAAGCGAGGCAAAATTTAACAATTGATAGCATTTTTTATTTTGTTTTGTTTTATTTTTAAGACGAATACCAATGCTGCCCAAGTACAATAATTTTCTTATAAAATTCGAAGAATTTTGAAATGTTTAAGAGAACGAACGATGAACTACACAATACACTCCTCAATATATTTCTTATTCAAACTAGTAGGAATATACGAGCAAATAAAATAAAGGCACTTTTAGCGTCGAATAATAAACCAGAAGGAAAAACATGAAAATGTAAGGTACGTAAAAGATAAAGGGAAAAGACGCGAAGCAAAACAAA